GGGACCGTGGATTTATCCGTCAGATAAGATCCCCTACTTAAATGTGCAGGAGCTATGGCAACCTGCACTCAGCATATCAGCATGGTGCCTCATCCCTGCTAGTCACTGGGAGCCCTTGTTGGGGGACGGGAAGCAGGCAATGTGCTCTCCCTTCATGGGGTTAGGTGGGCACCCTGCCCCCCGCTAGCACTCCAAGCTGGATTCAAAGTCTGTGAACCACAGGGTTCTTCTCCAAGCAGTATCAGCAGTGACACAGGTTGCTGCAGACTTCTTTCACTTCTCTCTAAGGAGATGTTGTCTCCTAATGCTGATTCTGAAGCTGGTCAGAGCAGAACAGGGGCACACTACCTGAGTTTTCACTGCCAAGCATGGCACTCTGTGGGAGTGGGGAGGGGAAGCAAGCAAGGCGGCTTCCCTGCTCCAAGCCTGGCAGTTGCTCAGACCCTAGTCAGCTTCCCAGGCTGAAGCAAAAGTCAGTGGGTGACTGTGGAATTCCCTCTCAGCTAAAACTGTGGGCAGCAAGACACTCAGCAGTTTGTTCTTGCTTTGACATGATGAGATGGTGGCTCACAGCAAGCAGGCGATGTGCTGCATGGCTGGCTGTATTGGTGTCTCTACTTCTCTCCTCTTGTCTCAAGGAATCGTCATTTTTTCACTTCTTTGCCGAAAATTTCATCAGTCTGACCCCTGGAAACATGATCCTTCCTTTGTTCTTTTCATATTCCAGAGTAGCTGAAGTTATTGTGTCTACATGCTATTCAGCCATCTTGGAAGTCAGTCCTGTTTTATTTATTTCAAAGAGAGGGGATGGGAATGGGAATGGGGGAGGAGGAGAGAGGGGGAGGGGGAGAGAAGAGAGAGATCTTCCATTTGCTGGTTCCACAAATGCCTGCAACAGCTGGGCCATATCTCCCGTGTGGGAACAGGAACCCAAGTACTTGAACCATCATCTGCTGCCTCTCAGGTGCATTAACAAGGAACTAGATCAAAAACAGAAATGGAACTTGATGCCAGGCACTCTGATATGGGGTTTGGTTATCCCAAGCAACCTAACTCCCTGCACTACAACACCTACTTAGAATATCTTAAGGCCGGCGCCACAGCTCAATAGCTAATCCTCCGCCTGTGGCACTGGCACACAGGGTTCTAGTCCCGGTCAGGGCGCCGGATTCTGTCCTGGTTGCTCCTCTTCCAGGCCAGCTCTCTGCTGTGGCCCAGGAGTGCAGTGGAGGATGGCCCAAGTCCTTGGGCCCTGCACCCCATGGGAGACCAGGAGAAGCACCTGGCTCCTGTCTTCAGATCAGCGCGGTGCGCCGGCCGCGGCGGCCATTGGAGGGTGAACCAACGGCAAAGGAAGACCTTTCTCTCTGTCTGTCTGTCTCACTGTCCACTCTGCCTGTCAAAAAAAAAAAAAAAAAAGAATATCTTCAGGTCTGGCAAGCCCTCAGTTTTACTCCTGTTTTGGTTAGCAGAATACAGATCAGTGCTGAAGAAAAAAAACTTTTTTTTAATGTTTATTTCTTTGAAAGGCAGATTTGGAGGGAGAGGGGAAAAGATGAGATTTTCCATTTGCTGATTTACTCTCCAGCTGTCTGCAACAACTGGGCCAGGCCAAAGCTCGGAGCCAAGAACTGCATCTGAGTCTACCCCATAGGAGGCAAGGACCCAGGTACTTGAACCATCATCTGCTGCTCTCCAAGGCACATTAGCAGGGAGCTGGATGGAAAGCAGACCAGCTAGGACTCAAACCATCTCTGATACAGGATGCCGACATTTCAAGTGGCAGCTTAATATGCTAACCCTCAGCAAAATAATGTTTTGATCACAATGGATCCTACAAATTCCAGGAATCTGAACTCATTTAAAAACAAACAAACAAAAAAACTAGAAAACAAATAGGCAAACACCTTATGACTCAGTAAACTCTTCTTCTGGTTTGATTTCTGTAGCTCCTCAACTATTTATCTTTATTTTCTTTTTTTCTGCTAGTTCCTGTCCTCCTCTAGTCCCATATCACTTGCCTGCTGAATATTTCTATTTAGATAAATGTTTTCTATCACATTAAATTTAGGAAAATCTGTATTACTTCTGTACTGATTCTGTTTTCTTGTTTCTTATCTTTTATCCTGTTCTCAAACCTAAAACTTGAAGGACTAACCTTTTCTGTTCCATCGCTTCTCACTTTTGGTTAGCTATTCATCAGAATTTTAAGCTTTTACTATATCCTTCTTATTTTCTTCCTTTTAACATTGCTATTTTTTATGCATTTTACTGGTATTTCCTTCTGTGTATAATTCACTTTGTATATCATCTGGCTTAATATTTCTTTTCTTTATAATAGTAAAATTACCAAGCAATAGTATTATATTCATATTTATCTTAGAAAAATATAATTAAAGTTTCTGATCTTTTTTAAGACTTTATTTATTTATTTGAGAAGTAGAGCTACAGACAGAGAGAGGGAGAGACAGAGATAGGTCTTCCATGTGCTGGTTCACTCCCCAAATGGCCGCAAGGGCTGGAGCTGAGCTGATCTAGAGCCAGGAGCTTTCCCCCAGGACTCCCACATGAGTGCAGGGGTGCAAGCACTTGGTCCATCCTCTGCTGCCCTCCCAGAAACATTAGCAGGGAACTGGATCAGAAGAGGAGTAGTTGGCACACAAACTCATGCCCATATGGGATGCTGGAGCTGCAGGTGGAAGCCTAACCTACTGCACTACAGCATGGGCCCCAAGTCTCTGATCTTAACATCTGTTTTGGAAAATTCTTTCATATACTTTTTTTTTATTTTATTTTGACAGGCAGAGTGGACAGTGAGAGAGAGACAGAGAGGAAGGTCTTCCTTTACCGTTGGTTCACCCTCCAATGGCCGCCACGGTCGGCGCACCATGCTGACCTGAAGCCAGGTGCTTCTCCTGGTCTCCCATGTGGGTGCAGGGCCCAAGGACTTGGGCCGTGCTCCACTGCCTTCCCGGGCCATAGCAGAGAGCTGGCCTGGGAGAGGGGCAACCGGGACAGAATCCAGTGCCCCAAGCAGGACTAGAACCCGGTGTGCTGGCGCCACAGGCGGAGGATTAGCCTATTGAGCCATGGTGCCGGCCTCATAGACTTTCAGTACCGTATATAATCCAACGAAATCTATTTCTGAACACTTAAATGCATCAGTTTTCTAATTTTTACAGTAATAATGAAATTCCCTCTTTATTAAAATGTCACTAAGATTAATTATAAGTATTTGACATTGAATAGATATAAATTTACAATCATTGGAAGAAGAGTTTGAGAAATTGGAGGGTATTATAAGATCTCATTGCCATATTTTAGTAATGTGACACAGTAGGCAGGAGTATTCAGAAATGTCCGTGGATTGGCTACAATGAGCTAGCTGGCTGGGAATGGCTCTTCCCAGCAAGAAGCAGCACCTAAATTCAGTTTTCCATGAGAATGGTAACTGCTTCCTCCTTCTGCCAAAGTAAACTGTAACTTCCCACAGGCCTCAAAGATTCCCATTGCTGAAGAGCTGGTGTATTGTAAAAAGTTTACATAAAATCTGCATCCTCTCTTGTATCTTTTGACTGAAAATCTTCCTCCTGTGATTGGTCTATAAGAAGGTTGAGCAAAGGGCTGGCATTCTGCACAGTGGTTACAATGTAGCCTGGGACACCCATATCCAATATTGGAGTGCCTAGGTTTGACTTCTGCCTGTGCTTCTGATCCTGTTTCCTGCTGATGCATACCCTGGGAGGCAGCTCAGGTGCTTGGATCCCTGTAACACAGGGAGGCTCTGTTTGAGTTCTGGACTCTTGACTTCAGCCTGGCCCCAGCCCTGGCTGTTGCAGGCAGTTGGAGAGTGAATCAGTGATTGGTTGATCTCTCTATCTTCCTTTAAAATAAAATGAGAGTAAATTTAAACAAACTTTTAAAAAGGACATGTAATAAGAGGCGGGGTCTTTGCCTGAGTTTCAGAACTACTGTCTGTTATTTGCAGAGCATCCTGGTCCTGTCCCATTTCTCGATAATAGCTTGTATATGGGATACTCATGGATTTTTTTATTTTGCTGACCCTGCCTCATAAGTTTCCCTTTTCCTTGAGTAAGACTAATGTTTAACTTATATTCTATGATTTGTTTTTTAAAAAAGACAGAGATCTTCCATCCTCTGGTTTACTCCCCAGATGGCCACAGTGGCCCCGTGCTAGGCCAAGCTAAAGCCAAGAGTCTGGATCTCCTTTCTGGGTCTCCCATGTGGATGGCAGGGCCCAAGCACTTGGGCCGTCTTCCGTGGGGAGCAACTCGGACGAGACTAAGTTACTGGAATTAAGACTTATTCTATGCATCTGCTCTCCCACAATATGGCGCTGGGAGAGGAGTAAACAGCTTCTACACAGCTGCCTCCAGTTCGACCAATAAACTGCAGGAGCTGCTCCTGATTGAAGGAGAGCAGCATGCTCAGTGTATGGGTAGCAGAGTTGGGATTGGTAGAAGAGGACTATAAAGGAGGAGAGAGACAACATGCACCAGGAACATCCGGATAACATCTGAGCAGCCCCCGAGAGAGCCGGCTGGCGGTGTGCCGCTCCCCCACGGAAGTGGGGAAAGTGGCAGGGGGAACCGCCCCTCCACGGAGGTGGAGGGGTTGCCAGCCAACCCGGGAAGGACCAGCAGCAAACCCGGGAAGGGCCGAGCAGACAAAAGAACAGCGCAGGGTCTAGTGTCGTTCCTCCGCGAAGAGGGGGAGCGACAGTCTTCCACTGCTTTTCCAGGTACATTAGAAGGGACCTGCATCAGAAGCAGAGCAGCTGAGGCTCAAAATGACACTTACATGGGATGCCAGTGTTGGACCCATTGGGCCACAATACTCACCCTGTAATTTATATCATAATATTCTAAATTCATCGTGAGTACTGGTTGATGACAAACAGGCTGAGAAGGGATCAGTCTTGTATAGCAGTTTAGTTTTAATCTTATGTCCTAACTTCTCCTTACTGTTCCATGGTGTAGGAATCTGAATTAGAGCCTATGAATGGTGAGATAATTGATGATGCCCTTAAGACCTCACTTGTAACTGAAGAGGAGGACTCCACTAGTGAAGGTTTAGATGAAGAATTGAAATTGCAGTCTTTTAATTCCAGCGAAGATTCTACAAATCTTGTTCCACTGGTGGCCGAATCTTCAAAACCCCCTGAGACTGTTGCAGCTGATAAGGTAAGGAGGAAATAACCTAATTTTTTTAAAGATTTACTTTATTTATTTGAAAGAGTTACAGAGAGAGGTAGAAACAGAGAGAGAGGTCTTCCATCCACTGGTTCACTCCCCAGATGACCACAGCAGCCGGAGCTGTGCCAATCCGAAGCCTGAAGCCAGGAGCTTCTTCCAGGTCTCCTACATGGGTGCAGGGGCCCAAGGACTTAGGCCATCTTCTACTGCTTTTCCCAGGTCATAGCAGAGAGCTGGATCGAAAGTGGAACAGCCGGGACTAGAACCGGTGTCCATATGGGATGCCAGGGCTTTAACCTACTGCACCACAGCGCTGGCCCCAAATTTTTTATTAAAGTAGACAAATATTGGTAATATTGAGGTGGAGGGATATATATGTTTTTTTCTTCTTCCTCCAGATTAACATGTACAGTCCTTAAGGAAAATTAACTCTTATTCTAGATTTAATATAAGAAAATAGGATCAATAATATTCCATAAATCAAATCTTTGTAACCTTATTCATATCTAACTTATGGTAGCAAAATGATTTTTATTTTTATAGACATAGAGAAATACTTAGAAAAATGGATAAAACTTTATTTACCAAATATTTGGGTTCATAGTCTATGACCAATGCAGTGATTTTGATTTGCTTTATACCAACAGACTAGATTAATAGAAAAAAATCTTGACAGGGGGAATTAAAAAAAAGATTTATGTATTTATTTGAAAGGCAGCATTACAAAAGAGAGGGAGAGATAGAGACAAAAAAATGAATGAATCTTCCATCCAATGGTTCACTGCTGACCCAGGTTCAGACCATCTTTTGCTGAATTCTCAGGCACATTAGTAGGGAGCTTGATCTGCAGCAGAGCAGCTGGGACTCGAAGTGGCACTCATATGGGATGCCGGTATCAAAAGCAGTGGCTTAACCCACTGCACCAAAACACCAGCCCCTGGTATGGAGTGTTTTAAAAGACAATGTTACTTTTTAATATTTTAATTGAAGGCTAACAAAACCATTGTAGCTTTATTTAATTAGTGTCTCACCTAAATAAGGGAATTAAAACTCCATTGTCCTTACCTATCATCTAATAGAGAACCATTGTCAAACTAATGGGATGAGACAGTGTCATGTCCCAGTGGATTCTTGGTTCTGACTCCAGTAACACCAAAAGTTTTTCATGATTTTCAAGAACCTTAATCAGTTTAAGGTGCCTGAAGTAGTATTTGAGGTAATAATTGCTTTTCATATATCTTTAAAGTAAGAACTCAGTGTATCAAAATGATGTGAGACACTTTTAAAGAAATTGGGGTGTGTTTAGAATGGTACATACAATTGACAAAAGTAATGATGACTGAATTCTTTAAATTGTATTTCAGTGTCATTGAAAATAATTTATGTGTCTAAAATAATTTATGCTACATTATAAAATTCCATTTGTTGACTTGTTATTTTCAGATTCCACATATAACTGACTCAGATACGTTGATAGACCAAGGCCCATCTGATGAAAAGGGGCACACTGAAGAGAAACTGTCCCTCATTCCCAAAAAGAAAGCGCATTTTGGGAGTTCAGACAGTGTTGCTACTCTCTCAAATGAAGAACGATCAGACAGTGGTTTTCCAAACTCTGTGACACCTGAATTTTCTGAAGAACCAGTCTCTGAGAATTTATCACCCAATACCACTTCCTCGTTGGAAGACCAGGGCGAGGAGGGGGTAACTGAGCCCCAGGAAACGTCTACTGCTCTTCCCCAGAGTTCTCTGATAGAGGTAGAACTTGAAGATGTGCCATTTTCACAGAATGCAGGACAGAAAAACCAGTCTGAGGAGCAGTCTGAAGCATCTTCTGAACAACTGGATCAGTTTACACAATCTGCAGAAAAAGCTGTGGACAGCAGCTCTGAAGAAATAGAGGTGGAAGTGCCTGTGGTAGACAGGCGGAATTTAAGAAGAAAGGCCAAAGGGCACAAAGGACCTGCTAAGAAGAAAGCCAAGCTGACCTGAAGAAGAAGTACAGATGATAAATCCCCTTCTTTGTAACATAATTGTTGTTTTTAAAATAGGGTAATAAGCAGCATGGGGCACAGGACAAAAATTTCCAAAGTTACACTTTCAACTTGTTTATGATGCAGTTTTTCTCTTCACTTTAGGACCTAGAATTCACCATTCTTTTAAATTTTCAGGCTGTTTTGTGTAAATACAATTTTTTATTTTTATTAACCATGTTTCAATTTTGGGGAACCAGATCATATTATATTTTGTTTAGTGGTGGGACATCTGACCATTAATGTTTCAAAAAATGCAAGCTAAAAAACTGAAAGTATAGGCTTTCCATTACCTGTAAGAGTCACAGAAATCTTTATATTAAGGATTTTAATTGTAAAACTTGCTGAGGGTCCTAGGAGTTTTATCTTCAATATCATAATCAGGACTTTTTTAAATGTAGGCATGCCTAAACAAAAATAAGTGTCAATAAATTAGAATAAATATAACTTCAAGTATATGAGAGCACAAAATCAGAAACTTAAGTCAAAGTTTATGAAGGTGATATTTTGGTTTTAGCCATGTAATTTTAGTCACACATGCAGTTTCTTCCTTAAATTCACTGCCTGTGGAAAGGTATACACAAAATCTTGTTTCTCTCACATAACATTTGATATTAAAAGTACTGCTAGGGATTTAATTGTGGCATATAGGCACTGATTATTCAAACTTTCTTTGCTCTTTTTTTCTCTGCATTTTTACAGATGCTTACAAGCTTAAAGAGTATGCATTTACATTTAATCAGGTAAACATCCAATATTATATTATATTAGAGATACAGTTTAACTTGGGCTATCTGATCCCTGTTAGAAATAAGTCAGTTAAACTGGAGACTGTACTGTTGTGCCCACTCAAGTTAACATCTGTACTTTCAGAAGTATAAAGTCTCTTTCTTAACTGCTGGTTCAAATTGACTTCCCTTAAATTCCCTTCCTCAGACTTCTGCCACAGCTGTCATTCTAGAATCTTATTTACATTCCCATCCCCCACCTCCCCAGCTTTTCATCCACCTCTCTTAAATAACTCTTGGGATGATTTCCCCAAGTCAGAAGACCTGCTGTCTGCCTGTCTTTTTAGCTTACACCCTTGCTGTCCATATTTCAGTAGATTTGGAACTGCGAAATCCCACAATTTCAGACCTAAATGGCAGTAGTAAAGTTGCCCTCAGACTGTAGTTACAAGACCTTCAGTCAAATTGGAGATGTAAGTTAGCCTTTTGATCTTGCCCACTCTTGTTTTTTCTGTGAATACTGGTTGCAAGCTAGCCTGTTATGTGTACTTCGTGTTGAGTAGAAAAATTTGGGGGAAAAATACCTCTCGACTATTAATTTTTGCATGGTAATTAAAAATGAAAATGGGTATTTGTTGACTCTAAAGACAATCTCAGAACAGGCCTGGTATTTGGAGGTATTACAAATTTGCACTTAAGTTGATGAATATTTTGAGACTAGATTGTTTTTAAAAACAGCTTGCTCTTGATCCTTCTGTGAAATACATTATGACTTTCATATTACTGAGGTACAGAAGATTGATGTTAAAGGTTCATTCAGTCTTCAGTCAGGTGATGTCATATTGTTGTACTTTATTTGGGGATGTTACTATTTTAGAGAGATCTAATTAGTTAAAATCTGAATGCAAGCCAAATAGTAAACTCTCCCATTCATGTAACACCTTGAACACTTACATGCTTTATATTTAGTTATTGGGTCAGAAGTAAGACAGATTCTTTCATTCTCAAAATTGGCCATTTGTTTTCTCAATAAATGCTAATAAGGTGAAAGAATGGCTGAAACTAGTGAGTAAAACCTACCAGTCATGCTGTTTTATACATTTTATGAGAAACTTCTATTTAATATCACAATTAGGGAAATAACTAAAGATTCTGTTAAGATCCAGGAAGTTCTTAATGTTTCCATTTTTCATGTCTTAAAGAGATTTAAAAACAGTACTTTGATATTTCCTGAAGATTGAGCTGACAACTCCATGTATGAATATAGTTTGAGTTCACAACACGGAAACAGTTATTCATATAAAATCACTGGAGACTGATGGTATAAGCTTATACTTGTTAAACCTGTTTAAACAGCAAATGGATTTTCAACAGTTTCAAAACTTTCTTCAACATACCAAAAAAAATTTATATATTATCCCTTGATAGTTAGAAAATGTTACTTGGGTTGCTAAAGCGTAAAGGAGAAGTGAGGTAGATGGGAGAACCTTTCACATTCAGTAACTTAAGAATTTATAACAAAAATTACCTTCAATAGTCTGAATAATAAACTTAGATATTTGTAGTTTTTCTAAGGCAGTAGAAGAAAATCTTAAGAACTAAGGACTGAAATGTGATTTCAGCCAGCAAGTCTAATTGTTACATAGTTCTTTGTGAACTTATTTGTTTAGAAGTTGTTTATGAAGGGAGTTCACTTTTTGTGTATATACATATATATTTCTTTGTATAATATAAAGCAGATGGTTATTACAAAAATTTTAGTTCTCCTTTCAAGTTTAAATTATTCAATTACTAGGCATCACAGAAATTAGTCTAAATTTTTATTACAAAGCTCCTCTGCAACTTTTAAAGGTGAGAAGTTCTATTGCGGTTTTTTTTTTTTTAATATAAAATCAAACAGCATGACTTAGGATGTCTTCTGTCTAAAATGTGTTTATATTTATGGTGTTTTCATACATTGAGATGGTAATAACATCTAATATAATGGTTTACTTTTTGAAGATTACCAGAATACTACCTAAAACGGTTTCGTAACTTTAGAAAACATCCAGAAGGCTTATCATTGCATACAATTGAGCCTTTACCTAATATCTAAGTATCTGCTCTTATGTTCTACTTTATCTTTGGAATTACCTTCTAAGGTTCGGGTACACCAGCAAACTGAAACAGATCTCAATGTAAATAAGAATTTATACTAACATTGCTCATCTGTGCAACAGTACTTTGGAGACAAATTCTGCTTTGTCCACTAGTAGCAATATGGTGTTCAGGTATAATCGTCTTTCATGGTTGTGATTAGTTACAAATGTTATGCTTATGTTTGCGTACTTACATTATATAAAGCTTTCCTTGTACCTCACAAAATACTCATTTACTTTGTTCTGACTTCTAAAAAATAAGCAAACCTCATTTCTGCAGTATCCAGTGATTACCTGAAGTTAATTTCATTCTTTTACCTCCAGAAGTTGTCATTCACACTTTGCCAATTTTTATTAATGGTAAAGTCATTTGTTAAAATCTTAACTGTAAGAAAAGTTCAGCTCTGTCATCAAGTGACTGTATTATCCAAGGTCATCATTTCCAAGGAAACTAGCTTTTCATGTCTGTGTTCTAAAACTTCTATGTCTATGGAACTTAAGAAAAGATGTTACATCATTCAGAATAGCAAATCTTACTGAGTACTTATATTTGTTTTCTTTATAGTTTTTTTAAAGGTGAAAAGTAGTAATTAAACCTATATTTTGTGTTTTGTGGTCTGTTTTTCAAAATTTTTTCCCTTCATTTGTCCCCAAGTTCATTCATGAAGATGTACTTAGATACTGAATTTGTTAAGATGTGGAATGATTTTTATTAAAGGAACAGTTAATCACACTGGATGTACTCTGAAGACAGACTTTAAAAAAATAAATACTTTAAAACAAGTGGTGACTATAGATTAATATAGTACAGACACCCTAGTGCTTAATGCCTCATAGTTCAGATCACAAAAGTGCTCTAACCAAGTTATGACCCTAAAACATGACTTTTTACAAGTGTATTACCTAAGTAACTGCAAATAAATTTCAGGGCATCAGTGCAGGCTATTTCCTTTTAAAACTAAGCTGAAATTACTTAAATCAAAATTTAGTACCACTTGGAAGGTAAAAATACATTACGCTACATTTAGAATATATAAAACAGCTAAAAACACAAAAGCATTTAATGTTTTTCATCTTTTTCATGTTTCAAGTAGAAAATGTAGTTCCAACTATACAATATGAGAAAAACAGTTTAAATACCCTTACTATACAAAGAAATTAAAGATTAATTCTAGTTGAGATCTTTTGAGTTTTGAACTTTTTCTACTTACTGCAGTGTGCCTTTTCTACGTACTTTTTAGTATAAGTATTTTATAAACTTGAACATTACCATTTCTTAATGCTACATGTATTATGCTACATGTATTAGATGTAATGATGAAAAGTGAGATGGAAGAGACTTAATGTCTTAGATATAACAAAGTTTCCTAGCCCAGGTTCCCATTTGAAGTACACACTGACCTTTATGAAGTGCTTGCAATAATTCTGGTGCTTTTTCCAGTAAAGACAAATCTGCATTGCTGAATACCAAATCATTAACGCAGATAAATGATGAAGCAGGACATCTTTTTGCTTTAATTATTCACATTTTATTAACATGTAAACCTTAAGCAGACTCCAATAAAGAACAGTCAGTAAAAGTGCATCTTTTTAATGTTTTTTACACCTTAAAATAATTCTCTTGCTGACTGCAGACATGAAGGCTATTTGGAAGTATTCAGAAAAATCATAGTAAAGACAGTTTTCCCACTTAGTTTGTAGTCTTCAATAATGATTAGGAGTTACTGTTATCAAACAAGTAAGACTGCATTTATGCATCCATCATTTTCAGGATTGTTGGTAACCTGGGCATATTTCCCTAAAGAAAACAGAGAAAAAGGAAAAGGGAGGGATGTTATCTAATAAAAATTTTAAAGAATATAACCTTTGCCTAAAATATTTCTAATTAGCACTCTTAGGAAATAGAACTGTAGAGAAAGATTTCACAAAATTAAGTAATTCAAGACCAAGCTTAAAGTCTTAATGCAATTTTTGATTTTACAAATGGTAGCCTGCTGCATTCTATTGGGACATTTTCTTAATAGGCCTCTAATTCCCCACATAATTTTTACTGAAAAATGCCAACAGGTTTTAAATGAGTTCAAAATCAACTTAACTATTTTAAAATTAGGGTCAGCCAACATGAAGTTTAGAGCCAAATTACAGATTGTATTCCTCCCCTCAAAGACCAAAGATTAGGGAAAATCTGGGCACTAAAAGCAGAAAATGAACAATGAGGAATTTGTTTTAATTATTACTGAAAGACTGTAGTTATGTTTGGTGTGTGTCTCCCTTCTCATGGTTGATTGTGTTTTCTTCCAATTTTTTTAGTAACAATTTTTATTTAAAAAGCATCAAGATCTAACACCTTACATAATTACAACCAGTAAGCCAAATTTTAAAAAGGAATATATTCATAACTACTTTTTCTACAAAAAATGTTCTTCCTAAAAATTCACATAAGATTTACATTAAGTTTTTATTTATTTATGTATTTGAGAGGCACGCAGACAGATCTCCTATCTGCTAGATCACTTAATGGCTGACACAAGGCAAGACAGAAGCCAGGAGCTGGGAACTTAATCTAACTTCTTACTAATAACTACTTGAGCCATTACTGCTGCCTCTCATGGTGCCCATCAGCAGAAGATGGAATCAGAAGCAGAGCTAAGACTCAAGCCAGGCACTCTGATAGCGACTGTGGGCATCCTAACATCTGCATCAAATGCCTGCCCCTGATTTACAGTAAGTTCTAAGCTCTTACACATTAAAAATTTTTTTCGCTGCATATTTTCTATCAACTTGAAAAGTAATTCTGGTTAAGACTACAGAACAGCAATAGTCCCATATTCAAATATTTACTTACCCCAAATAACCTTGCCTCCTTGCGTCACAAGGCCCAGCTCGCTCACATTCACCTCAATGACAGTACCTTTAGTAATTACACCCAGAGTTGTGTATAATGGGGATGATGGATTCTTTTTTACACCAAGTATTGGCAGACAGAAGGTGGCTTTCAGTTCTGGATGTGTTACATGGGCCTTCTTAAAACGTAAGCCCTAATAAATCAAACACAATATATAAAATGGTCACAACAATGAGTAGTATGCTCCATACTTAATTTTTCTAATCATTTCCAAAAACCCATGGGTAGAAAAACACATGCTGTTTGCTAATATGCATTAAAAATTACTCAGGTAAACAGTAGGGTTAACACTATCAGCTTTCCCCATTTTTGTTTTCTAAAGAATAGATATCTGAAAGGCAAAGTGACAGGGAGAGAGGAAAAATCAATAGCTTAACAGCCAAGCTGGGGCAGCCCAAATCCAGGAGCCAGGTACCCCATCCTGATCTCCCACATGGGTGACAAAGGCCCAAGTACTTGAGCCACCCTCAGCTTCTTCCTAGCACACTGAGCAGGAAACTGGATTAGAAGCACAGCAGCAGGAATTTCAACTCACCCCATAGGGGATGCTTGGCATTGCAAGCTGTGGCTTAACCCACAGCACCACAATGCTGGCCCCTTCTGTTTTTCTAAGCAGGATGACCATCTAGTTGGGAAAGTAATTTAGTCTAAGATTTTGCAAATACAAATATTGAATTATCTCTTTGGAGGAGGGCTGAGAAGTGGTGGGATCAGTTTGAGGGCATATTATTATCATGGCTACAACAGGAATGAAGCTACTTTTATACTGCCCCCTTTAAAAAATGATTGTATAGTCAACATTTTCAAAAGCATTAAGATACTTTCCTTACTAAATCAGAACCAGCATTTGACAAAGCAGTCCTATTCAAGTTTTCTAACTGTTCTCAAAGACAAGTGTTTGATGCCTAGCACAGAGTCAGGTATTCAAGTAGACTAATTGCTGAATGAGTAAATGTGACTTTGAGTGGAAAATGAAGATTCCAATATGTAATCTTTAAAATTGAGAATTCATTAAAAATGCCTATTATTTTTAATTTAAAATCTCTTATGAAGCAGAAAACAAGATTTTCAACTGCAGTGGGAAAAGTGCTAAAGAATCACTACAAATAACGAAAAGCATAAAAACATCTTTCACTTTGTTTTTCCTATCATTTTTGGAAATTTCAGGAAACTGTAATGTACTTTAGTCAGTCACTGCACTCCTGCAAAGAACTTACCATTGGTCTAATGAATCTTTCATATTTAGGTGGTTTTCTTGTAAAGCCATCTCCAACAAAGCAGACTTTGGTAACCATCCTCTTCCATGCCTTCTTTTTTCTTTTCCCTGTCCGAATAACTTTTAATACTTCTGTTTCTCCCTGGGCACGAACTTTAGGCAGAGGGACTTCCCATTTTCCCTAAAAATAGAACACAGTTATAACTTACATTGTTAGTAAAGAACATTGAGAATGACAACAAAAATATGTTTTAGTCATACACAGTATTAGATTCTTTGTTCACATTTTTGGCTCAACTGTTATCTATAAGTCTAAACTGTTTCCTCACAAGCTACAAATTAGGCAGAAGTAAACTAAGTTTATATATTTTGGGTACATTAAATAAATGGTTTGCTTAAAAATCTCAATGCTTGTTTTGGGAAAAAAAAAAGAAAAAAAAATACTACCTGTAGTGAGGCAGTGACTTCCAGAAGTAGTAGATGTGCTTACTACCAGTTAAATAACTGGAAAACTTGCCTCCCTTAATGTCTTTGTATTTCTGTCTTACATGGATTTCTAGATTATATTTACTAGGACAACGTCCTCTCCAGAGGTTTTCTTACCTTCCTGGAATTCAAATTCTATGACAAAACTGTATCAGTGTGAGGCAATAGAAAGAATTCAGAACTCACAGTCTGGGAACAGTTCTATCGTATTTCAGTGAGGTGACATAGAAGAATGATTTATATCATCTTGGAGGCAAGTATCATCAACAAAATCAGAGGAGGTTAAAAATGTAACTTCAGAAGTTTTTTTTGAGTGCTAAAGTTCCTCAAAAAGTGAAGTAAATTTTTAAACATAAATTTGGAGATTATAAGCTTTAAAATAAAGATATTCTTCTACCTGAATTCATCAATCTAGTCATAAATATTAAGTCATATCTTCTCTGTTTTCAACAGAATTTAGCCATGCTGATAGAAATACAATTTAGAGGTATTTAGGAAAAACCAACCTGCTGAATTCTTATTTTTATTTAAGTCAAATCACTTAAGAAGTTTCTCACTATTCCAGTTTTTAATCAATTTGGGCACTGCAAGGCAGCAAACCCAAGAAACAGTTGGATTTTTCTTCACAACTGCACAGCATTAACAACTGTGGGAAGTATGGGGAGTAATTAAATTCTGAATATGAAATTCACTGTTTACATATAACACTCTTCTTATATAACTTTCTTAAAACTGAAGATGTGTGACATTCTTAGAAATTTTTAAAAGTTAAATTATAAAACTTATGGTGATGAGAATGCAAGTTTTTATAAAATGTACAGACTTTAACATCTAAATAATGGGAATAATATTTAAAATTAAACTGAAGAAACAAAGAACCTCAAATCTGAATTTAAGCAATTTTAATTCTCTAACAAAGAAATAAAAACTAATATCATTGCTTACCGCCTTCTCTTTGCGTTTTTGTTTAATCATGTTGGAAAGTACTTTAGCTCGGGACTGTCCTTCTCTGTCTAGCAGATAGGCAGGCACTGCTCCCTTGGGAGTCTTTTCATCATTCTTTTGTTTCGTGTTTCTCTTCTCATGCATCTTGATACTACCAAGAAGAAAAACAAAATCAAGATTTTTTTTTTTTTTTTTTTTTGACAGGCAGAGTGGATAGTGAGAGAGAGAGACAGAGAGAAAGGTCTTCCTTTTGCCGTTGGTTCACCCTCCAATGGCCGCCACGGCTGGCGCGCTGCATCCGGTGCACCGCGCTGATCCGAAGGCAGGAGCCAGGTGCTTCTCCTGGTCTCCCATGGGGTGCAGGGCCCAAGCACTTGGGCCATCCTCCACTGCACTCCCGGGCCACAGCAGAGAGCTGGCCTGGAAGAGGGGCAACCGGGAAAGAATCCGGCGCCCCGACCAGGACTAGAACCCAGTGTGCCGGCGCCACTAGGTGGAGAATTAGCCTATTGAGCCGTGGCGCCGGCCAAGATTATCTATTTTAATAGTTATTACTCAAAGGATATTAACTTGCTATGACAAATAAATGGGATCACTTACGTCTTTTTCATCTGTATTTTCTCAGCATGGCGCTGCTTATGGTAGAGCTTGGCCTTCAGACCAATCATCTTTTTTGCTTTCTTTGAACGTTCATGAGCCTCCCGACTTTCCTTTTTTCTCTTTTTCTCATGGTAATCCAAACGGTACCCATAGCGTTTACGGTGTAATTCAATATATTCATTTTGTGGCTATGAAGATTAAGAGATGTTACTTTGATTTTTAAAAGTACTGTCAGAATATTCTAAAATCCTTTCTTTTATTCAGCACATAAAGTAGACAAGACCATACAACATCCACAAATTCCCTTAAAATGATTCTAGCACTATTAATAATAAGCTACTCACATGATGTAAATAAATTCTGATCCTGGATGATATGAACCATCAGAGTTTACCCGTGTAATAATGTCACTGAAAGTTACTGTTCATTGAAGGGACTTGTCCAAAACCCACTGGACCACTAACAGGATAAGCTGATTGATTACAGGATCTATTTATTTCTCCTAGCATAAGGTAATATTTTCTTTAATAACACCATTGTTACATCCCACTTTTTATTTTTAAATATTAAGTCAGTTTTACTTAACTATAATTTACTTACCCATTTTAGATGTATGTGTATAGTTCTGAGTGACTCCAGTTGTGTAACAACCACAATCAAGACATAGAATATTTCCATCACCCAAAAAGACTCCCTCTGTTTCACTTTGAAGCCAATCCTCTTTTCTTACTCCCAACCTGACATCTGTCTCTCTGGTTTTGTTTCCCAGAATGAGATGGTAAGTGAAACCTATAGTACACTGCCTTTTACATGTGGCTTTTTTCAGTTAGGATAAGGCCTTTAGGATTCACCCCTATGGCTGGCTGCCTGTACCTATTACTCAACTTTTTTTTTTTTAACTGAGTAAGTATTCCATTATATGAACTTAACAGTGTTTATCCATTGAACAGCTGATGGATATCTGAGATGTGTCCAGGTTTTGGTGATTAGGAATAACGGTGCAATAAATCATTCATGTAGGTCTCTGCATGGACATCTGTTTACTTCTAATTTTCCAAAGTGCCTGTATTATTTCAAACTCCAGCAATGTATGAGGTTCTTTTTGCGTTTTAAACGAGTTTGCTGCCTTGTGTTTAAAAACATACAGCCGAGTCTATCTGTACTTTAAGACTGAAAAATAAGAGCAGGCATTTGGTCCAGCAGTTAGGCTGTGGCTTGGGACCCTGCATCCATATGGCAATGTCTGGGTTCCAGTGCCAGTTCTGTTTTCTAGTCCAGCTTTCTGCTAATGGACACCCTGAAAGGCAGTGGTGATGGCCAACCACATGGGAGACTCAGGTGAGTTCTGGGCTCCTGGTTTCAGCCTCATCCAGTCCCGAATGCTGTAGGCATTTAAGGAATGAACCAGCCAGTGGAAGATCTCTATTTATCTTTCAAGTAAAACGTAAAATAACGTTAAAATAACTTTTTAAGACTCCCAAAGTAAAACAGTGCAAAGCAAACTCCATCACAGTAAACAATGCTTAGGAACGGTAACAGGTGTGGAGTTTTCAATGGCTACCACATAGACTTTGCAGCAACCAGAAGCAAGGGGCGTGAAGTGTCAGAGCAGAAACATACAGTGAAGATAGGGATCTGGTAGGTACACTTGGGCCGCTTGGGCCGGCTTGGCAGTTCAATAGCCACCTGGTCTTTGGCAAGTTTCCTCCGTAAAACGAAGTGGCGAGATTAAGGCCTAAAGTAAAGCGTTATCACAAGCCGCTGGCACTGATGACCACTGTGGCGAATCCAGGACTTTCATAGTGAAATCTGTCTTGCTCCAAAGCGAATACCCGACTCTACGTCCCACTCCACGGAGTCAACCATCTTCCCTCCAGTACCTGAGCCGAGCCCTGCACCCCAACTATCTCAGACGCCCTACGTCCCAAGCGCCCGGGGCAGCCTTCTTACCATGGTGACGGCCTTAGAACCGCCAGGTGCAGCCTCCTGGGTGCGAAGAAGTTCCCGACTTTCAGAGCTCAGAAACCCACGAGACAACTTCCGGAAGTTCGTGACAGGAAATGCTCATTTTCTCTAACCGCCGAGTGAAGAGGAAGCGCGATGCAAACGTTCCGTGCTTCTGTTCTCCATTTCGCCTACCATGGAGGAAGTTGCTGGTAGGCAGCATTTGATCGGTGCACTTCCGGAAGTGAGGAACTGTAGCTGCCGGAAGAGGCAGAGCGCGTGAGACTCCGGTTTTTTTAGGCAGGTTCGCCAGCTTTCGCCGAGGTGGTTTGCGGAGAAGTGAGCTTGCAGACTTTCGTGGGGCCAGTGCCACGTATTCGCTGCAGTCCAGAGGGAAGAAATCAGCGTCGGATATAAGAACGAATGCCAGGTGAGTATTGCGCCGCACAGTACCTGTGACCCTGCTGGGCGCCACCGACCTTCCTGCCTGTGACTGATGCAGCTAGTCGCGGAGGAGGACGACGGCCTCAGGCCCCACCCCCTTGGTGCCCGCTCGGTTTTGGACATTTCTTATATCCTTCGGCGAGGATGGCCGCGCTTTGTGCCGTAATGTGTGTAGTTGGAGACGCAGAGAAATTACTATACATTCACACACACACACACACTATTCAGAACTACTTCCAGTAATTCCTGAGGTCCTTTGGTGCAGTGGACCAAGTGCTGAGTGAACTTGCACGTTGAGGAGCAGCCCTCTAGTGCCGCAAAAGGAATAATTCACTTCAAGAAAGTACATTGGTTTAACACTGCCCGTTTTACTGTACAGGCACAAAAGTTCCCTTCATGCCCCCACAGTGTGGAACTTGATTTGGTTATAATAACCGCAAAAAATCGTACCATAAGGAAGACTTAATAAAGTGTTAGTGCTTGGATTTGGAGCAGTTTTTAAGATTCCTGAGACCTTTGAGGGGTCAGAGCTATTTTCATCATCACGGTACTAAGATATTATTTGCCTTTTTCAGTTTGTGACATTTGCACTGAATGTCACTGAAGGGTGAGACAGCTGTCACCTTTGCAAGAATCTAGGCAGTGGAAGCAAATAATGATACAAATAAACAGAAAGAATTCATGGTCTATTAAAAATCAGTGGACTGCCATGCCCGGAAGGTGTAGAACACAAAAATAAGAATCATGGGGCACTTAAAGAAATCACAGAGTATTTCAGTATGCAAGTAAAGATGTTGCTAAGGATCAAGTCATGTGGGAAAGGAGAGCCTAAAACATCCGGTTAAAATAGCCTGTTTGCATTGGGATTTGTTACTGTGTGTTAACTTCTAAATTGGGAACCTTACTTCAGAGTTGTGTTACAGCTAATGTTTATTAGGAAAGTATCTGGCGCCAGCGTTTAGGCACAGCAGTTAAGCTGTCTCCTGCAACACTGACATTCCATTTGGGTGCCTGTTGCTCTCCCAGCTACTCCACTTCTGATCCAGCTCCCTGCTAAGCGCCTGGGAAAGCAGCAGAAGAAATACTTAGACCCCTGACACCTAAGTGGGAGTACTTAGATGAAGCTCCTGGCTCCTGGCCCAGCTCTGGCCATTATGGCCATCTGGGGAGAAAACCAGCAGATGGAAGATCACTCTCTTTATCTCTAACTCTATCTTTCAGATAAGTAAAATAAATATATTTTTAAAAAAGTATCAAGTTTGAATTGGAGCAACATATTCATTATTGACTAATATCAATCCGTAATAACACTTTTGCTTTTTTCACCTCTTCACATTGAATATATCATCTTAGCCATCTAAATGCTTGTTTTTATTATAAAATTTATTTCTGGCACAAATAAGCTAGTCTGTATTTTGAAAATTAGTTCTAGCAGCCGCCGCCGTGGCTCACTTGGTTAATCCTCTGCCTGCAGCGCCGGCATCCCATATGGTCACCTGGTTCTAGTCCCGGTTGCTCCACTTCCAGTCCAACACTCTGCTGTGGCCCAGGAGGGCAATGGAGGATGGCCCAAGTGCTTGGGCCCTTGCACCCACATGGGAGACCAGGAAGAAATGCCTGGCTGCTGGCTTTGGATCGGCACAGCGCCAGCCGTAGCGGCTATTTGGGGAGTGAACCAACGGAAGGAAGACCTTTCTCTCTGTCTCTCTCTCTCACTGTCTATAACTCTACCTGTCAAAAAAAAAAAAAGAAAGAAAATAAGTTCTAGGCTACCTTTAACTTAATGTAAGAAAAAAGATTGCCAAGTTAATTTTTATCTGTTAAACTCAGTTGTTGGGGCCAGCGCCGTGGCTCACTTGGTTAATCCTCCGCCTGTGGCGCCAGCATCCCATATGGGTGCCAGGTTCTAGTTCCGGTTGCTCCTCTTCCAGTCCAGCTCTCTGCTGTGGCCCGGGAAGGCAGTGGAGGATGGCCCAGGTGCTTGGGCCCTGCACCCGCATGGGAGACCAGGAGGAAGCACCCGGCTCCTGGCTTTGGATCAGCGCAGCTCCAGCCGTAGCGGCCATTTGGGGGGTGAACCAACGGAAGGAAGACCTTTCTGTCTCTCTCTCTCACTGTCCAACTCTGCCTGTTAAAAAAAAAAAAAAAACTCAGTTGTTAAAGATACTCTAAATTTAGATCAACTGGACTTAATAAAGCAGCTTCCCATTCCCTTGAACATGTAACTTTTATTGGAAAAATGCAACAACCTGGTTGTTATAGAAAAATGAGTAACACATACTCTTCAGTGTGAAAAAAAGATTAACTTTAAAATTCCAGTCCATTTCCACTGTATCACATACAACAATGCTTCATTCATAATACCTTTTGCATTTTGCAAAGTTCTTATTACTGTACCTGTTCTTTCTCTTTAACATAAACTTTATACTTAGACCATATACAATCAACTTATAAAGTAGTTCCCAGTTCTCATCACTTATAGCCATATCTGTACTAATAACTACAATCTAAAGTATCACCCAGATCAGAGTAATGTAATTTGTATGCTTCCTATTGCCAAATGCAAAGACTGGATTCCTCGTACTTGGGGAATCTTCCAAAAGTTCACAAAAAAATGCATGTTTTGAAAAAAAAACCACGCATGGATTTCACTTTTTTCCCCACCAAAAACCTTTTAATTCCATTTTCTCATGAACTTTTGAAGTACTCATCTGTACACTTGGAGTAAATTCAGCAAAATAGTGATGATACCCAGTGTGGCTACTGACAGGTATATAAGAAGTCATTTATTGTGAGCTTTTTATTGGTATTGATTTGTTTAGTCCTTTTTTTTAATCCCATAATAACTGCTGAAAGTAAAATAAATAATATAGCCAACCATTTTACCACTTCATTTTATATAAATATAAAGTGTGATCATTGCTTGATCTTGAAAACACCACTTATTTTCTCTCCCAGATTCAGAAGAAAAAAAATGAGTGGTTTTAGGAATTGCAAATAAATATTAATATAAGTTCCCAACTTATTAAAATTTCCATAAACTGGAAGAATTACAACAGGAATTTAGGATAACTCAAAGAGAAGCAGCCAACACAAGAGTTCACCCCATTTGATTTCAATTATATAAATTATGAACAAGCAAAACTAATCTGTTCTCTTATCAGGACAGTGCCCTGTTTTCTTCAGATTTATTTTATTTGAGAGAGAGATTGGTAGAGACAAAGAGAATCTTCCATTATTTGCTGGTTCACTCCCTAAATGGGCCAGACCGAAGCCAGGATCCAGGAGCATCTTCCAGGTCTCCCACATGGGTATAGGGGCCCAAAAACATTTGCTACTTTCCCAGGGATTAGCAGGGAGTAGGATTGGAAATGGAGTAGTCAGGATTCGAACAGGTGCCTATATGGGATACCGGCATCACAGGTGGCAGCTTAACCTGTTACATCTCAGTGCCGGCCCCTGGACAGTGTTTATATCATGGCAGTACTAGTGACTGCAGAGAGGCATGAGGAAGTCTTCTAGGGTATGTACGGGTTAATGCAATTTCTTGAATTTGGTGCTGAACCTTCAAGGGGCCACAGATCACAACTTGAGAATAATTAGGGTGCAGCGTTCCTCAGTGTCACTACAATTGATATTGTGGGCCTGATAATTGTTTTGTGTTGAAGGGCTACTCTGGATTGTAGAATATTCAGCAGCATCCTTGGCTTTACCTACTAGATGCCATTAGTACACTGTAGTCATGACGATCAGAATCATTACCAGATGTCTTGGCAGGAGACAGATGGGTAGGGGTGCAAAATCACTCCTTGTTAACATCCATTGCATTAGTTACCAAGACAAATATCTGTTTACAGTAGTAACTACAGGGAGATGATTAGGGGTTAAAAGGAAATGGATTCAAGATATATTTAGGAAATAAAATGAAAGGATTTGATGACTTCCTAAATAAGGATAGTAAATGATTCTGTCATTGATATGAATATCCAGAAAGGTTCAGATGTAGGAAGAATAATTCTCTCTCTCTCTCTTTTTTTTTCTTTTTTTTCTTTTTTTTTTTTTTAGGATTTATTTATTTATTTGAAACACAGAGTTAGAGATATCTTTCATCCACATATATACCCCCCAAATGGCCAAAACAGTCAGGGATGAACCGGGAGCCTGGAACTCCATCTGGGGCTTCCATGTGGATGACAGAGACCCAAAGACTTTTTTCCCAATCAAATTACCAGGGAGCTGGATCAGAATTATAGCAGCTGAGACTCGAATCAGTGCCTAAATGGGTTGCTGGCATCATAGGCAGCAGCTTGACCTGCTGTGCCACAACACCAGTGCCCAGAGAATAATAGTTTTAACAAGGCTTTTTACATAACATGCAGAGTGGCTTGATACTATCTTTGATATTGTACTTGGAACATAGTGAGTTTTTAGTAAATGTTCTTAAAATAAAAATACTTAGTTCGTGTAGTCATGGAGAGAAGAGGATTTAATTTTGCATATATTGTACCTGATTTTATTTTTACATATTTATGATAGGAAAATCAAAATATACTTTTAAGCCAGTAAATTTTACTGCATGTAACAAATTACTAAGTTAATATGTGAATGCTTACCTTTCTATACATAATTCTATTTCTTTTTCTTTTTTCAAGATTTATTTATTTATTTGAAAGCAGAGTTACAAAGAGGGAGAGACAGAGATCTTCCATCTCCTGGTTCATTCTCCAAATGGCAACAACAGCCAAGCTGGGCAAAACTGAAGCCAGGAGCTTCATCTAGGTCACCCTCGTGGGTACAGTGGCCCAAGAACTTGGGCCATCTTCTGCTGCTTTCCCAGGTGCATTAGCAAGAAGCTGGATTGAAAGTGGAGTAGTCAGAACTCGAACCTGCGTCCATATGGGATTTCAGCATTGCAGGCAGCTGAAATGCTGTTATGCCATGACACCAGCCTCAGTGTAGTTCTATTTCTACAGTATTTATACATTTCAAGAATGAAAGTGTGTTGAAAAATAAGGGACATTTTAAGCCTGAGAACCATATTTCTCAAATTTAGTGAGAATTTTCATTTTCTGAATGTGTCAAGGATTTGATAGGTAGAACTATTATACCTACTTTTTAAAAGCAATGTATTTTTACCTTGCATATTTTATGCCTTACTGACATACAAATTTAGTTTTATAATTTTATGTATTTATTTTTTCAGAGAAGAACAATTTAGAAGATCAAGATGTTGATGAACTTTAGGATATTTACAGTGAATCATCAGAAAATATCCAGTTTGCACATGAATGTAAGCTTTTCTTATAAATTAAATGTACTTGGGTAACCTCAGTTACTTTACTCCCAGAAGGCCTCGTATATGTCATAAGCTTTTGACGCCAAACCTATTTTAGTCATAACATTTAGTTACCCTCATTTCAGATTAACTTGAGAGAAATTTGTCTAAATTTATTAAGAAATTATCTTAATTAAAAAACAACAGATAATGCTAACTGCTAGTCTCATGGAGTACAAAAGTGACAAGTTTGGTTTTTTTGTTTTTTTGAGGAAAATGGTGCAAACGTGATTCATACTCCTAAGTATCTACAGATTGAGAGTCCAGTGAAAGAAACTTCTCTTAAATTAATGTCAGAGTATAATATCTAATTGTACAGTTATTGATGCAATAAATAAAAGTTTTGGCTTACTTTTGCAGAGCTGTTCAGAGCCAACTTCTTGGGCAATCTGATATTTGGCTCTTATTTGAAGAATGTTATTTTAGTCTCTAAGCTGTGGTCTGACTTACGAATCTCCTTCAAAACACTAAATTATTTTGTAAGAAACTGTCATCTCTTCAGCATACTTTGGAGACATTAATCCTCAAATGAAACCATGCCCTTTATTATGTGTCTACAATTAAGTGAAAGATGACCTTCATATTTGTCTAGGTTATTTCTGTTTATCTTCAACAGTGACTTAATGGGGAATGTTGAGAACCTGTAACCCATAAGAAGCATACTTTATCACTAATCTATAAATTCATCTTTGCTACTTTAAAATCATGCATGTAGCATTTTGAAGAATCTGTATTTCTATATTACATTTTTGGTGTTACTAAGTGCCCAAGGAATAGTTTTCAAAATTTGAGTGTTTCATTGCTGGCACTTTCAGGCTAGCCACCTTGTGATGGTTATATGCTGAGTCTTATGCTGGTCTTTATGCAGTATGCAGTAGAAATTTAAATAGCTTTAAGGCTCTACTCTTGAAATATTTTCTTAAGATAGTAGCGTAGTGTTGCCACTTGATAACTAATGTAAAAATAATGTGGAGCACACAGACACAGATTCCATATTGTCATAAAAAGCAGATAGTGGAAGCCCAAAATCATTACAGTCCTAAATAACAATTCCATATATAATGGCAGCCATTAAATATGTGTTGGTGTTGTAGGGGTAAGAAGGATGAAGAATGTTCAATCTCTACCTGAGAACATTAGTAGAAGAAGCAGCTAGACAGGAGGGTAGATTTGGCCTTAAGCAGACCAGGTCTAACTCAGTGATTCTCAGTCATAATACTGCTTAAGAGACACCTGGGAGCATTTTAAAATGCCACTGCCCACCCCCCTTCCCCCTACCCTGACATTTTTGAGAAGCATTCAGGTTCTAACATGTTAACTACTGCTGCAAGTCCTGAAAACAGCTTATGGTTTTAGAGTTCCTGCCCTTTACAAGCTTGTAGCAGTTACAGAAAATAGCCAGAGTGAGATGCCTTATGTAACCCTTCTGACTGTCATGTCATAGCTCATGGTTCTCACACTTGTAGCTATTGAAATCACCTGGAGGGCTGGGTTTACCTGCAAGTCTGATTCTGTTGTCTGGGAGGAGCCTGCATTTCTAGCTCCCCACTGCTTGTTAATACTGGAGGTCTAGGAGAAATGTTTTAAAGTTAGCTCAAAATAACAAGTCAGGGTCACTTATTATTTATTATTATGTGGTATAAATTGGGATTCTCTTTTAAAAAAAATATTTATTTTATTTATTTGAAAGCCAGAGTTACACAGAGAGCGAAGGGGAGACAGATATAGAGAAAGGTCTTCCATTCGCTGGTTCAGATGGCCGCAACGGCCGGAGCTGCACCAATCCGGAGCCAGGAGCCAGGAGCTTCTTCTAGGTCTCCCACATGGTTGTAGGGGCCCAAGGACTTGGGCCATCATCTGTGGCTTTCCCAGGCCATAGTAGACAGCTGGATTGGAAGAGGAGCAGCCGGGACTAGAACCTGCGCCCATATGGGATGCCGGCGCTTCAGGCCAGGGCTTTAACCCACTGTGCCACAGCGCCGGTCCCAAGGATTCTCATTTTTTTTTATGAGAATTTTTTAAAGGGATATTTTACCTTCTGACAAAACATGTTATAACATTCAAATTACTGTCATAAGTCATGCTGAAATGAAATTAATATCATGTTTCCTTTTTATCCTTCCCAGAATATGTGCTGCTGTAAAATAATAGCAAGTTTAAAAAGATTAAAGCCAAATATACCTGTTGGAAGAAATTATGGTTCCTTACCAGGTACAAATGTTAGAGTATTCTCATTTACTTAAACTGGTTGCTGCTTCTCTTTTCTTGTTTGCAACAACCTCTCTTTTTAGGGGTTTCCAATCATGTTTTACTTCTTGGCTATTTCCTTAAGATGATTGGTGTGGGGATATTCTAATAACTGCCAGGAAGCCATAGCAGTAGAATTGTGCCCCTCATCTGGATGCACTGGTGAACTGAGCAAAGGGAAGTTTGGTGGCTTTTAGTAGCTGGCTCAGAAGTTTAACATCTGTGTCTCCTTTTATGTGATTTTGGGGTAAAATGTTTTCTAGTTTGTTATGTTTTTTATTCAAAAGTGTTTTCTGTCCATAGAGGTTTAATAGACTAATTTAAAGATTCTTCATAATAGTTTGGTTAAATATTTATCTGGGATGGTTGAATTAGACAGTGGCTTTTTTTTTTTTTTTTTTTTTTTTTTTGAGAGGCAGAGTGGACAGTGAGAGAGAGACAGAAAGGTCTTCCTTTTACTGTTGGCTCACCCTCCAGTGGCCGCCACGCGCACCACGCTGATCCGAAGCCAGGAGCCAGGTGCCTCTCCTGGTCTCCCATGTGGGTGCAGGGCCCAAGCACTTGGGCCATCCTCCACTGCACTTCCTGATCACAGCAGAGAGCTGGCCTGGAAGAGGGGCAACCGGGACAGAATCTGACGCCCCGACTGGGACTAGAACCCCGTGTGCTGGTGCCACAGGCGAAGAATTAGCCTATTGAGCTGCGGCGCTGGCCGACAGTGGCTATTGAAAGAGGGAAGACTGAATGTCCTTCCTGTGTTTGAAGTCAGGTAGCATGTGGTAGACCTGATGAAACTAGCTTAATTCTGTTTCTATTAAGTTACCATCTTTATCATGTGAGAATAATAGAGTAAAAATACTGACTGGCTGTTGATTTACAAGGGCACATGAAATCTAGGACCTCGTAATTTGAAGGTATCTAGGATCATTTATTTTGCTCATGAGAATTTAACTATAGCAGTATAAATTATCTTTTGATTTTCAAAACACCATGAGGATTTTAAAATGATATAAAACTTTATTATAAAATTTGGAAGAACTAGTTCAAATAGCAACCAGGTAGAGATTAAATTTACATATGTAACTACATTGTTGCTTGAAAATTATGTATTAATAAAATTTATGGTAAGTATGAAGTAAGTCATTATGAACTTTTATAACATTAGGAAACACTATTTGGCATTTTATTATTTATTATTATATTTATTAGATTATTGCCTCCCAAGCCTCTTTAAAGGCATTGTGGGATTGCTGAGGGAAGGTAGGTTCCAAATTGTACAAGAATTCATTATTTGCTGATATAAGGATTTCTCTCAGCTTTTCAAGCCTTGGAAAATGCAGCGTTAAAGTTTTTCTTTGATTCAGGATAATAGAACCTTAAGATTGTCATGAACATTAATTCTGAGTCTACATTTCTATAAATTATAGGAGTAGGAAGTGGCAGAGATTGGAGTAAATCTGTAGTTTCTCTAAGGATGTGATCTGGACATGGATGTTTAAAAGCTTTTACTTTGTTTTATCATTAGCCATAGCTTTTTCCTTTCAGCTTGTAGGGAAATAGATTTTAGATTTTACTTAGCTTGGACTTTACTTTTGAATTACAGCATTTGATTAACATTATTTTAAAGTTTTTTACTTGTGAATTAAGGAAAATTTCATAAATTTACCACTTCAATTTTAATCCTCCTTCTGTTAGGATTAATAGAAAATGATATCAAATCCCTTCGTTCCATCATCAATCCTCCTATAGCTAAGTAAGTACTATCATTGATTTTTCTTTCCATGAAGTTATCAATTTTCTCTGATAGGCATTATTAGTAAATGCTACAGTTCCTATGACTGTATGCCCTACCTAATTATAAAAAGATGTTGGTATTTAGTTAATTTGTTAGCTGTTTTGTCAAAGTAATGTAGTAGGATATACTGAAATATGTTTTTCATTTTTGTTATTTTGTCAGAAATGTTTTTCATTTTTCTGGCTTTCACATAATTATATAAATTACAGAAATACTAACCAGATTTGAAATTTGCACAGGATTGTTATTTTGTTTTTTTACAATTTCAGTAATGTCTACCTCATAATGATTTTTTTTCTGTTACATAGAATCCGTAATATTGGAATTATGGCTCATATAGATGCCGGCAAAACTACCACTACTGAAAGAATATTATACTATTCTGGATACACACGATCACTAGGAGGTGAGAATAGATTCTTCTTTCCCCAATTTTCCAGTAGCAAAAGCATCACTAGAAAAATTTCGATTAAGAAGTCAGCCTAGAGACCTTCAGTGCCTGCAGGCACTGATGTCTAAGCCACACATACATATAAGGTAGGTGCCATATCCGCAAGAGTCTTCTTAGAGTCAACTAAATAATTAGACTCACAAAACTGTCATTGGCCCCATTTGGCACTTCTCTGCTTGGCTGTCTCTAGGATTGGAACCATACCATACCAGCAGGTCAGCATTAGATATTTCTTCCTAAAGGAGTTAACAGTAGCTTTGAAGACTCATGCCCTAAAGGAATGATTATCTCTTCTTACAACTCCATAGGAATAGCTTCCACATTCCACAAATGAGACTTACCATATCCCACTCACAGAAGCCCAAAGATGTGTATCTCAGTCATATGTTTATAGTTCCTCCCAATTCATATTGCGTTTACCATTCAGATATTTTTTCCCATGAAATATGTTGCCTAGCAACATGCAGGGGGTTTTCAAATAGTTCATGGTAAGTGTTTTATGAAAAAACTGCATGGATTTGAAAATTTTTTAGGACAAAATACCCTTGTCTTTTAATTCCATTTTCAAAGTTCCCTCTTATGAGCACTTAGATTTCTCAAAGGATTACTGTGTGTAAATGGGACTATGACAGCACAAGGAGCAATTTTAGGCTTCCTCTATTTTGTCACAAATCTGATAATAATCTTTCCCTTATAGCCTCAGTTTATGTACCTGAAGTGAGGGTCCAGATGAGGTGACCCAGACAACTTTAAAATTTTCTTTTTAATTGTGGTAAAATCGAACAAACAAATCATTTCAACCATTTCAGTAGTGTTGAGTATATTCATATTGTTCTGAAACCAGTCTCTAGAATGTTTGTATCTTGAGCACATGGTTCACCCATATTACAGTAAATATCAGAGTTTCCTACCTGTTTAAGGTTGAATAATATTCCATGTATGTATATTCAAGTTCTCCTCTGAAGTCCTCTTTTAGTTTAGGCTATAGCCCTGGAAAGTATTCGAATTGTTTTAGAACTTACTGATTCAAGGCTAATTTTATTAGTCATATGAGTAATCATAGAAATAAATTGAAAAAAAGATCTTTATTGTGAAAAATGTTTTTCTCATATAAATATTTTAAAAATTTAGTGCCACATTTAGGACTTTTGGTTAATTATGTGGTCTCTGTATCCTTAATGATGTTTGATTGTGTGTTTGTTATGTTGTAAATAATTGGTGACACTAATACAACTCATAGATACTAAGACAGATATTTAGAGTTCCTGGTAACCATATTTTTCTTTCTATTTCCTCCTCTGTTCTTGCTTTAAGTGTGTATGTGTGTGTATGTGTATGAATACGCACATTTACATATGCATTTGGGAAAATGAGCTACCATTTTAGGAGTTTTATGCTGACATTTATGGTAGTATTTAATAAAGCCATAATATATTCTTGACTCTTAAATGATAAATATCAACTGTTTTCATTTCTTATTTCAAATCATAATGTTTATAGATTTTTTTGAAACTATTTTATTCGAAAGGCAGAGTTACAGAGACAGAGGGAGAGACAGAGACTGAGAGATCTTCTATCTGCTTATTTACTCCCCAAATGGCCACAACAGCGAGAGCTGGGCCAATCCAAAGACTGGAGCAAGGAGCTTCTTCCGGGTCTCCTATGTGGGTGCAGGAGTCCAAGCGCTTAAGCCATCCTCCGCTGCTTTCCCAGGCCAACTGCAGTAAGCTGTATTAGAAGTGGAACAGCCAGCCGGCGCCGTGGCTCACTAGGCTAATCCTCCGCCTAGCGGTGCTGGCACACCGGGTTCTAGTCCCGGTCGGGGCGCCGGATTCTGTCCCAGTTGCCCTTCTTCCAGGCCAGCTGTCTGCTGTGGCCAGGGAGTACAGTGGAGGATGGCCCAAGTCCTTGGGCCCTGCACCCGCATGGGAGACCAGGATAAGTACCTGGCTCCTGCCATCGGATCAGCGCGCCATTTGAGGGTGAACCAACGGCAAAAGGAAGACCTTTCTCTCTGCCTCTCTTTCACTATCCACTCTGCCTGTCAAAAAGAAAAAAAAAAAAAAAGAAGAAGTGGAACAGCCAGGACTCGAGACAACACCCATATGAGAAGCCGGTGCCACAGGCAGATGTTTAACCTACTGCATCACAGCACCAGAGCGTTTATAGATTTAATCATGGTAAAATGTACACTTCTAGAATTTTACTGCAGAGGAATTTGAGTGAAGTATTTGGGAGTCAGGATAAAGTTTATCCAAGACTTTATGTTGTTCCTTAAAAAATAAATTAATTAATTTAAAAAAGAAAGTAACAAAATTAAAAATAAAACCAAAAAAGACTTTATATTGTAGGAATTGTACCAAGACATTATTTGCACTTATAAGAATAAATGCCTTTTCTTTGAAAATTTAATGATTAGAAGGTTTTATAAAGAATTATCTAATTTTGGAAGAATTTTTTTCTCTAACTTGTTCCAAGTACCTAACAGTTATCATCTACTAGACAACCTACTTCATTTATTGCCGAATTTTACTTTTATAGCAACTCAGCAAAGGCAGTTTTATTAGCCTTATTTCATAAACTTGGTTAAATAACTTACTCAAGATCATGGAGAGTAAGTGGTTAAATCAGGTTTGGGCTCTTTCATTCCACTGCTCTTAACTCCTACCAAGGAATCTATAGGAGAAACATCAAATAAAGAAGGTATAATTAAAATATGGCTAGGAAAAGAATGGACAATATATATGGCTGAGTTAAATTACATGGAACTTAACCTTACTTGTTAAAGAAAAAGAAAAATTAATTTTATGGCATGTTTACTAATCTTACAGAAATAGCTTCTCTAGAATGAAAATTTACTTAAAGGAAGAGTAAGGGCTGTAAATATTAAAGCATACATTTTTGGAGAAATTTTGCTTAAAGTAAATTCAACTGTAGTAGGTAGATATAAAGTACAAATAGAATATACTTGCTATTAAGATAGACCTGTAAAACAAAACAGAAAAAAATCACTGTGACATCTTTTTCCTGATTAGATGTTGATGATGGAGACACGGTGACAGATTTCATGGCTCAAGAACGAGAAAGAGGCATTACTATTCAATCAGCTGCTGTTACTTTTGATTGGAAAGGGTATAGAATCAACCTAATTGATACACCAGGTATGGTACTGTTCTAACACTACAGAGATACTGCACCAGTTTTTTTAATTTGCTTGTTTGTATGTTTATCTTTTTTTAAAATAGAGCAATTTTTTAAAGATTTATTTATTTATTTGAAAGGCAGAGTTACAGAGAGAGAGTGATGGAGCAGTGCAGGGAGCAGAATCTTCCATCTGCTGGTTCACTCCCCAAATGGCTACATTGGCCATGACTGGGCCAATCAAAGCCAGGAGCCAAGAGCCTCCTCCAGGCCCCCAGTGTGGGTACAGAGACGCAAGCACCTGAGCCATCCTCCACTACCTTCCCAGGCCACCAGCAGGGAGCTGGATTGAAAGTGGAACAGCCGGAACTTGAACCAGTGCCCATATGGGATAGCAGTGCTGCAGACAGCGGCTTACCTGCTATACCACAACACTGGCCCCTGTATGGGTTTTTCAGTTGCGGTAAAAAGCACATCCTAAAGTTTATCATTTTAATTATTTTTAAGTATACACTTCAGTAGTGTTGGGTATATTCACATTGTTATGAAATTGATCTCCAGAACTTTTTCATTGCAGAACTGAAACTATACCCGTTAGGCAGTAAACCCTCTGTCCTCTCTCTGCACTTCTGGTACCCACCATTCTACTTTCTACATCTGTGAAGTTGATTACTTTAGGTACTTTATGTGGAATCATAGTGTATATTGTCCTTTGTAATTGATTTATTTCACTTAGCATAAGGGTTCTTTTTTAAAGATTTATCTTATTTATTTGAAAGGCAGAGTTTCAGAGAGAGGGGGAGAGACTCAGAGAGACAGATCTTCCATCTGCTGATTCACTTCCCAGATGGCTACAACAGCAAGGGGTATACAAGGCCAAAGCTTCTTCCAGGTCACCTTTGTGGGTCCCAGGGCCAAGTACTTGGGCTTTTCTCCACTGATTTCTCAGGCACATTAGCAAGAAGCTGGATTGGAAGTGGAGCAGCTAGGACTTGAAGCAGTGTCCATATGGGATGTCAGTGTCTTAGGCTTTGGCTTAACCTGCTACAGCACAACACTGGCCCCTCGGAAAAGGTTTTCAAAGTTTATCCATGCTGTAGCATGTGACAGATTGCTTCCTTTTTACGGCTGTATAGCATTCCATTTATGCCTCTATCACATTTTGTTTATCCATTTTTTCCATTGGTGCACATAGTAGATGTTACTAAGAACATGGGTGTGCAAATATCTCTTCAAGATCCTGCTTTCAATAATTTGAGGCGTATGCCCAGAAATGGGTTGTCAGAGCGTATGACTATTTGTTGAGGTAGATTCATTGAGAGGAGAAGCGTGGTGTGGGCAAGAGGTGCAGAGTCACCGCATAGACCCCGAGAGTCAGGTGAAAGTGGGCCAGAGGTGAGCAGGCTGCAGACTCAAATTTATTTCAGTTGGTACAACAGCTTATATAGCAAAGGCAGCCAATCCGGTCAGGGGGCGGTCTATGCCCTAACCAATCACAGCCTGTTGCCAAGCAATATCCGAACCCATCCAATCACAGCCTGTTGCCAGGCAGGCTGTTTGCCATGTGGTTTCCAAAGCCATCCAACCACAGCCTGTTGCCAGGCAGGCTCCGTTGCCAGGTGGATTTCAGAGCCGTTCCTGAGTAACTGATGCTCGCTTGCCATCGGCCATCTTAGCATGGCCTTCTCATTCCACCACAACTATTTTCTTTCTTTTAGTATTTTAAGCAATATATTTCTAATCTTTTTTTCTTAGGTCATGTTGACTTCACCTTGGAGGTTGAGCGCTGCCTAAGAGTTTTGGATGGTGCAGTGGCTGTATTTGATGCCTCTGCTGGTGTAGAGGTAAAAAATATTGCCAAAGTAAAGTGAAAATAGAAATTTTTTAAAAGGTAGAATAAATAAGATTTAGTTAACTCTGACCTTTTATTATGTAAGTTAATAAAAATCAAATTATGATTGAAGTTGGAATTTAATATTGACAATCTATATATGACCTTAGATGTTTCATAGTAAAATTTGCTTTTCTCTAGCAGATATGAGAGTGTCAAGAACTAGCTTACTTTCTGGCCGGCGCCGCGGCTCACTAGGCTAATCCTCTGCCTAGCGGCGCCGGCACACAGGGTTCTAGTCCCGGTCGGGGCGCCGGATTCTGTCCCGGTTGCCCCTCTTCCAGGCCAGCCCTCTGCTGTGGCCAGGGAGTGCAGTGGAGGATGGCCCAGGTGCTTGGGCCCTGCACCCCATGGGAGACCAGGATAAGCACCTGGCTCCTGGCTCCTGCCATCGGATCAGCGCGGTGCGCAGGCCGCAGCGCGCCGGCCGCGGCGGCCATTGGAGGGTGAACCAACGGCAAAGGAAGACCTTTCTCTCTGTCTCTCTCTCTCTCTCACTGTCCACTCTGCCTGTCAAAAAAAAAAAAAAAAAAGAACTAGCTTACTTTCAAGCTAACAAGTTAACCTGCCATAGTTTTGTAGATCCTGACAGAAAATAAGACTCCTGGGTCAGAGACAAAGGACTATGTTAGTCACAGAAATAGCAATATCTCACATATGCAGCATTTTACTATACTAGTTCCCCAAATCCCAATTTCTATAGGATGATGATGAAGGGATTCAGATGACAACTGCATGTATGTTGGATTGAGAGAAACCATGTGTTTAAATAATGGAAATATTTTATAATGTGCAGTAACCATACCTGCCCTTTATTCTGAGAGAAAGCATCATCTTCCAAGGTTGTAAGCAAACCTGCCTTTTGTTCTACAGAAAGACATTGTCTCTTTCAGGGCTGTTCTTGAATATGTTTTGAAAATGGATTTATAATAAATTTATTACTTACAGGGTTAGCAGTAGCTTCCTTATAGGTGGTATTGCCTTCATCTTATAGTCTCAAGATTGGCATTATATTGCATATAGAACCCATATTTGTTCTTCCAACCTTAAAATTACTAAATGTGATACTATCTTAAGTAATAATCATTAACATTCCCTGTTATGGGACAAACTGGTATAGTGAACTTCCTGATTTGCACTGAAAAGGATACAATATCACCTATGTTGTATTCCTGCCAGAAATCTTTCATCCAACTTCAATTTTTAGAAAACAGAAATCTAAGTGAAAAAAAATTCTGCAAGAAAATTGCTGTAACTTTGTAAATTGAATTTTTTGTTTTTACTGTGTCATGAATGATTTTGGGGAAAAGCTAGAACACTCTTTTTAGATTAAAGGCTTTTAAAGAGACAAGAAAAGTAAATGTAATATGTGGTCCTGGATTGGATCTTATATCAAAAAACATTAGAGGACAACATTGGGAAAACTTGGAAAAATTTTTTTAAAAGATTTATTTTATTTATTTGAAAGAGTTACAGAGAGAGGTAGAAACAGTGAAAGAGGTCCCTTATCTGCTGGTTCACTCCCCAGATGGCCGGAATAGCCAGACCTGTGCTGATTCTAAGCCAGGAGCCAGGAGCTTCTTCCAGATCTGCCATGTGGGTGTAAAGGCCCAAGGACCTGGGCTGTCCACTGCTATCCCAGGCCATAGCAGAGAGCTAGATCAGAAGAGGAGCAGCCAGGACTCGAACCGGCGCCCACATGGGATGCCGGTGCTTAATGCCAGGGCCTTAACCTGCTGCGCCACAGTGCTGGCCCTGGAAAATTTTGAATATGACATTAACGTATCATGTCAACTTGACAGATCCTGAACATGATAATTATAGTTGTTCATTTGGGAGAAAGTCCTTATTTTTTGGAAATACATAACTGAAGTATTTAGTGTTGGAATGTCATGATAATCTGCAACTTTGCTTTCATGGTTCTGCCTCCAACCACTTACCCACCTGATGTTTGGGTCCTTCAATAAGTAGACGTCAACCTGGGATAAGGTGAATGGGAGATTAACTGGGGGACATACTGTGAAGAAAATTGATTCATTGAACATTATCAAAATTATATCTGTTTATCAAAAATAATTTACAAGCTGAAAGAAACACAGTGGGAATGAGGAAGGGATGAAGGGTATGATAGGTTGTATCATTATGCTTTTAAAACTGTATATATGAAATTTGTTCCCTTTATGTAAATTTTTTAAAAGTTGGAAAAAATTGAAACAGCAAGCCAAAGAGAAGACATTTGTAATGTAAAATGGAAGTATTACATGAAGTTTAAATTTCCTGAATGCCTTAATAGTATTGGTTATTTAGGATACTATTTCACTGGTCTTGAGAAAAATGTGCTGAAATTTTTATAGGAGAAACCAATGTGTATGACAGTGGACTTACGTCTGGAATATATGAAGAATTATAAATCAGTAATAAAAACAAAACCTCCAAAAAAGTTGAATGGACTCTTTACAAAAGAAGGCATTTGAGTCTCCAATAGGCACTTGAAAAGATGCACAATCTCATTAGTTATCAGGAAAATGCAGACTAAAATCACAAAGAGATGCCATTTTGTACCCACAAGAATTAATAAAATGTAAAAGTTTGATTACAAATATTGTTGAGGATGTGAAGCAACTGTAACTCTTATATTGTTGGTAGGGCTTCCAAATAATAATACTTGGGAAGATTACTTGGCAGTTTCTTATAAACTTAACTTTACACCCACCTGCAATTCTACTCCCTTTATCCAAGGGAAAGAAAACATTTCTCCAAAGACTGGTTCAAAATTTTTTTAGTAGCCAAATTCATAATAACCCCAAACCAGAATCAACCCAAGTGTACATCCACAGTTGCATAGAAAAATGAGCTGATACATTTATACAAAGAATTATGGCATTGAAACAGGAAAGACCAACTATACCCAACAACTTGGAAGAATGTCAAAAACATTGTGTCGAGCCCAAGTACCCATGCTATTTATGGGAGGTACAAGAATATGCAGAATGAATCTTTGTTGACAGAATTCAGAAGAGGTTGTTTATGGAGTCAGGAATGTGGGTGTGTGGATGAAGAGAACAATTTCTGGAGTGTTCTATGTCCTGGTTAGGGCAGTAGTTATACAAGCATATACTTTTATCAAAATTTATTGTATATGAATTTTGCCTAAGTGAATAACAACCTGGTTTCTATTAAATAGTGTCAGCACATTAGGCTTTTTATGGTTTGCTTCTGGATTGTTGGCCTGTATAAGGCAAAAATTTTTAATGCTCTCAAACTATTTAATATGTGCAAAAAATAAAAGAAGTTAAATAGAAAACCATATGAGAGTTTCAACTTAAAAATATAGGCATTAGTTTCTTCCCTGTCCTCTTTAGTTTATGTTAACATTCAAAAATTCACAGTAAAATGTTTTTGTCATGACAGCATTTTTACACTACACTTCTGTTTGTTCCTTTTACCACTCAGAAACCATCTAAATGAATAATGGCAAAAGTTTATATGTCACAGGTCAGAAAACTGACATAAAATGAGTTTGATATTGTGACAAGTACTGTTAGAGAAGTTAAAAAAAAATGTCATTCTTTTTGATTAATTCAGCCAAGTTTTTTTTTTTCATGACTTGGTACCTCATGGGTTAATTCTCTTTATGTGACAACCTAAATAGTATTATCAAATGGTTGCATGCATATTTTTTATCACAATCATCATATCCCCAGCTGTGTTATCCTGAGGGCAAAAGAATACTCCTAGAAATGACAGGAGTCTACTACAGTGGCATTAATTCAGTGTCAAAATAGGACTCACTATGTTACTGTAGATTCTTTGGCTCTATTCATTCCTTGTCTGGTGACATTTTTGTTTTTGTTTTTGCCAATGTATAGATTTTTCCTCATCTTTGCTTTAGGCCCAAACTCTCACGGTATGGAGGCAAGCTGATAAACACAAGATACCTCGAATCTGTTTTTTAAACAAGATGGACAAAACTGGAGCAAGGTATTTAAGATCTATTTCTTTGTCTTATCAAAAGAGTAAGAATATAGTTTGAGTGTTTAATGGACTACACTTAAAGTTAGAAATAGGTGTTATTCCCTGTTGGGTGTAAATATGCTGTAGAATCCCAGTTCATTCTTATTTAAGGAAAAGAATTCTGGCGCCTGCTCTGTGGCATAGTGGGTAAAGCTACCAACTGCAGCACCAACATCCCATATGGCCGCCAGTTCGAGTCCCAGCCACTCCACTCTGATCCAGCCCTGCTTATGTGCCTGAGAAAGCAGCAGAAGATGGCCAAAGTCCTGGGGTCCCTGCATCCTTGTGGGAGACCTGGAAAAAGCTTCTGGCTTTGGATTGGCCCAGCCCAGGCTGTCGTGGCCATTTGGCAGGTGAACCATTGGGTGCAAGACCTTTCTCTGCCTCTTTGCCTTTCCAATAAATAAATAAATATCTCAGAAGAAAAGAAAAAAATTCCAAGCCATGAATTCTGAGGTTAAGTTAACAATTTGGCGTGGGGTTTTTTTTGTATTTAAAGATTATTTATTTATTTGAAAGTCAGAGTTACACAGAGAGAGGAGAGTCAGAGAGAGAGAGAGAGAAAGGTCTTCATCCTATGGTTCACTCCCCAATTGGCCGTAACAGCCTGAGCTGCACTGATCCAGAGCCTGGAGCTTCTTCCGGGTCTCCCACGTGGATGCAGGGGCCCAACGACTTGAGCCATCTTCTGCTGTCCCAGGCCATAGCAGAGAGCTGGATTGGAAGAGGAGCAGCTGGGACTAGAACCAGCACCCATGTGGGATGCCGTCGCTCCAGGCCAGGGTATTAACCCTCTGCGCCACAGCGCTGGCCCCGGCCCAGTGTATTTTCTGTTATCTTGACGAAGTGGTATTGTATGATTCTGTTTGTTCTCTCTCTCTCTTTTTTTTTTTTTTGACAGGCAGAGTGGATAGTGGGAGAGAGAGACAGAGAGAAAGGTCTTCCTTTGCCGTTGGTTCACCCTCCAATGGCCGCCGCGGCCGGCGCACCACGCTGATCCAATGGCAGGAGCCAGGTGCTTCTCCTGGTCTCCCATGGGGTGCAGGGCCCAAGTACTTGGGCCATCCTCCACTGCACTCCCTGGCCACAGCAGACAGCTGGCCTGGAAAAGGGGCAACCGGGACAGAATCCGGCGCCCTGACCGGGACTAGAACCCGGTGTGCCGGCGCCACAAGGCGGAGGATTAGCCTAGTGAGCCGCAGCGCCAGCCTGTTTGTTCTCTTTAGAACTATTTATAGCATTGTTCCTATGACAGTTATTGTACTCCCTATCATTGCTGAAAATAGAGTATTGTATTCTGTAGTTGTCTTAGAGGATGGTGTTCTTTCTTGTTCCCTGCTTTTCTTTAACTGCTGGGTAGTAGGCTTTCAATAAAAAGGAACTGGGAAGGGAGAATGTACTTGCTGTAAGACCAGCAGAGAGGGCAAAAAAAAGTTAATTTTGAAGTGCAGCACTCATGCTTAGAGATTTACAGTGCATGCATTGTTCTAAGAATATAATTCAGAGAATCTAAAAACAATTTGGAGAAATATAAAGGATGGGAGAGATCCTAGGCTATGGTAACAGAGTGGCAAAAACAAAGCATGAACTATCCCTTCCCTAAAACTACATGGCAGTAATTCTAATGTTGCTTCTCAAAGGACTCTTGTCTTGATTAATAAAAGCACAGCAACTTCTAGAATGTGCTGAGCTCAGATTCTGACTTTTTCTCTTTGGAGTTCCTACCGCTAGATGGAAGTCCTCATTTGCTGACAGACCGTACTTGTGGGAATCAGAATGATTTATATGTATGTGTAAGCCAGACCATCTGCCAAAGATGACAAAGATGTGTGCCACATGGATAGCCAGCCTCAGTGTTAGTATAGTATATGATATTAAGGATGTCTTAAGATAAAAGGATAGAAAAATTAATTTGGTTCCTGGAAGAAAGCTGGTAGTTTGGTATGGTAACAACCCTAGTTGTAGAGGAAAGAATCAGTGACTTGTAATCACAAAGCTTGTATTTGGATCCTAATGGCCTTTTTTTTTTTTAAGGCTATCTGACCTTGATGAATTCATTTAGTGTTAACCTGAGAGTTTAGTTGTCTGAAACTTAGAATAATATCCTGAACACCTTTGTGCTAAGATTATGGTAGGTAGTCTGGTGCTGCGGCTCACTAGGCTAATCCTCGGCCTTGCGGCGCCGGCACACCGGGTTCTAGTCCTGGTCAGGGCGCTGGATTCTGTCCCGGTTGCCCCTCTTCCAGGCCAGCTCTCTGCTGTGGCCAGGGAGTGCAGTGGAGGATGGCCCAAGTCCTTGGGCCCTGCACCCCATGTGAGACCGGAAGTACCTGGCTCCTGCTGTCGGATCAGCGCGGTGCGCCAGCCGCAGCGCACCAGCCGCAGCAGCCATTGGAGGGTGAACCAACGGCAAAGGAAGACCTTTCTCTCTGTCTCTCTTCTCACTGTCCACTCTCTCTGTCAAAAAAAAAAAAAAAAAAAAAGATTATGGTAGGTTCTCAGTCACAATTATCTGAAATTGATATTAAGTTTCATGAAAAATAGTCCTACATGAAATTGTTAAATGATCATTAAAGAGAATTAAAGGATTATTTTAGAGAACATTTTTAAACCTGTGTTGAGAGTCTTTAACTCTTTTTTTTTTTGCTTTCCACAGTTTTAACTACTCAGTTGAAACCATCAGAGAGAAGTTGAAGGCAAAGCCTTTGCTTTTACAGGTAACTTTGTTAAATAGAATAAATTCCTTCTCAGTTTCCTTATCAGTTTATATTATTATGACATACAGATTTCTGTTGCTAGCCCACATCCTATTTTGTTGGAGAAGTTGGGCTATACATAAAGATAGTTAAATATTATGATAATGATAATAGATATTTTGGAGAAAATGATACAGTACAGTTAGCTAAGTTTTAGAACTGATTCAATTCTAAGTGGCTTATCACTTGGTAATATTAATCTCACTCTGTCCTACAGTTACCAATTGGTGAAGCCAAAACTTTCAGAGGAGTAGTGGATGTAGTAAGTAAAGAAAAACTTATTTGGAATCCCAATTCAGATGATGGAAAAGATTTTGAGAGAAAACCCCTCTTGGAAATGAACGATCCTGAATTGCTGAAGAAGACAATTGAAGCAAGGAATACCTTAATTGAACAAGTAAACTAAATACTTTGAGTTTAAAATTGCATAGGAACTTAGAAACTTTGAAAAATATTTTATTGTGGAATTTTATATGAAACTACATATGTAATATGTAAAGTATGCTGAATAATAAAATGAATGCCAATTTGTGCACCATTCGGCTTAAGGATTCAAGTATTAGCAATTCCCTTAAATCTCTGTGTGCCACTTCCTGTTTGTAACTCTCTCCCTTCTATTAGTCATTACCTGCCCTAATAACCAGTATATATCTAGCATTATTCATTTCCTTTTCTTTATAATTTGCTATAAATGTATATATCTAAAGAAATTACTGTTACATGTATTGAACTTTACATAAATGGAATGCCACTGTTTGTGTTTTATTACATTGTTCCATATTATATTAGATATCCGTGCTGCTATATGCAGTTGTAGTTTATTCATTTTCAGTCTTTTTTTTTTTTTAAGGTTCATTTATTTGAAAGGCAGATTTATACAAAGAGAGGAGAGGCGGAGAGAGAGGTCTTCCATCCAATGGTTCATTCCCCAATTGGCTGCCATGGCCGGAGCTAAGCACCAATTCAAAGCCAGGAGCCAGGAGCTTCTTCCAGGTCTCCCACATGGGTGCAGGAGCCCAAGGACTTGGGCCATCTTCCACTGCTTTCCCAGGCCATAGCAGAAAGCTGCATTGGAAGAGAAGGAACTGAGACTTGAACATGGGATGCCTGCGCTTCAGGCCAGGGCGTTAACCCACTGCGCCACAGTGCTGGCCCCCGATTTTCAGTCTTACATACTATTCCCATATATGATTATACCATAATGTATTGTCTATCTCCTATGGTTAAACCTTAAGGGTGCTTCTCTTTTTGGCTGTTGGAAACAATGTTGTTGTGAACATCTTTGTATCTCCTTGTACACAAGTACAAGATTTCGTTAAGGTTAAACTTAGAATTGCTGAACCAAATGATATGTTCATCTTTTACTTTACCATATGTCAAATTATTTAGTGTATTTTAAAACCATCAATTTTATAGTTAATATTCAGCTCTGGATCTTACCCACCCTCAAAATTTTAATAGAAAATATTAATGTTCTGTTATACTTACTTTTGCAATATTACATGATTAGTCTATAGGATAATCAGTAAAACATACCCTAAATAAATAAGTCTATGAATCCTGTGGTAGAGAAAAACCTTTGATTGTGAGCCTTTTGATTTTTAATTTCTAAATTGAATTGGTCCATGGAGCGGCTTTGTGGTACAGTGGATTAAGCCACCAATGCTTGCATGCCATTCCGAGTGCTGGTTAACCTCCCAGCCATTCCACTTTTTTAAAAAAAATTTTATATGTTGTGTAGGTGAAACCTCATTGTGCTGTTTATTCGCATTTCCCTGATGGCTAGTGACCCTGAGAATTTTTTCATGTGTCTGTTGGCCATTTAAATTTCATCCTTTGAAAAATGTCTGTTCAAGGCCTTTGCCCATTTCTTAACTGGACTTTTTGTTGTTGTTGTGGCATTTCTTGAGCTCTTTATAGATTCTGGGTATTAATCGTTTATCAGTTGCATTATTTGAAAATATTTTATCTCAAATATATTCTATCCATTGCCTCTTCACTTTGTTGATTGCTTCCTTTGCAGTGCAGAAACTTCTCTACTTGATATAATCCTATTTGTCTATTTTTGTTTTTATTGCCTGTTCCTCTGAGGTCTTTTCCAAGAACTCTTTTGCCTATACCAGTGTGTTGCAGAGTTCCTTGATATTTTCCTGATGGTATCAGGTCATAATTTTGATCTTCCATCCATTGTGAGTTGATTTTTGTATAAGGTGTAAAGTAGGGGTCTTGTTTCATACTTCTACTTGCATAGATCCAATTTTCCCATTACCATTTGTTAAAGAGACTGTCCTTTCTCCAGGGATTGATTTTAGCTCATTTATCAAAAAGTATTTGGTTATGGATGTGTAGATTAATTTCTGGGGGTTCTATTTTGTTCCATTCATCTGCATGTCTGTTTTTGTGCCAATACCATACTGTTTTGATTATAACTCCCCTGTGGTATGTCTTGCAGAGTGGTATTATGATGCCTCTAGCTTGGTTTTTATTGTTAAAGATTGATTTAGCTATTTGGGATTTATTCTGTTCCCATATGAATTTTAGCATCATTTTTTTCTATATCTCAGAAGAATGTTATTCTTATTTTGGTTGGGATTGCATAGAATCTGTAAATTGCTTTGAGTAGTATGAACATTTTGATAATATTAACTCTTCCAGTCCACAAACATGGAAGATTTTTCCCTTTTTTTTTCAATCTTCTATTTCTTTCCATAGTACTTTATAAGTTTCATTGTAGAGATCTTTCACATCCTTAATCAGGTTTTTTCCAAGGTATTTAAATTTTTTGTATCTGTTATAAATGGAACTGATCTTTCAAGTTCTTTCTCAGGTGTGGCATTGTCTGCGTATACCAAGGCTATTGATTTTTGTGTGTTGATTTTATATCCTGCAACTTTAGCAAACTCTCTTATGAGTTCCAATAGTCTGTTAGTGGAGTCTTTTGGTGTCCCTATTTATAGGATCATGTCATCTGCAAACGGGTAATTTGTCTTTTTCCTTTCCAATTTGTATCCCTTTGATTTCTTTTTCTTGTCTAAAGGCTCTGGCTACAACTTCCAGAATTATATTGAATAGCAGTGATGAGAGAGGGCATCCTTGTCTGGTTCTGGATCTTAGTGAAAGTGCTTCCAACATTTCCCCATTCAGTATGATGCTGGCTGTGGGTTTGTCTAGCATATATTGCCTTGATAGTTAAGGAATGTTCCTTTTATACCCAATTTGTTTAAAGTTTCTGTCATGAAAGTTTGTTGTATTTTATCAAATGCTTCCTCTGCATCTATTGATATAATCAATAGTTTTCATTCTTAAATTTGTTAATGTGATGTATCACATAAATGTGATTTGTGTATGTATGTATCACATAAATTGATTTGTGTATGTTGAACCATCCTTCTTTGGTCCAGGTGAATCAACTTTCTGATGTATTATTGGATTTGATTAGCTAGTATTTTGTTGAGGATTTTTGCATCTGTGTTCAACAGGCATATTGGTGTGTAGTTCTTTCTTTGTTGTATCTTTTATTGGTTTGGGGGTTAAGATGATGCTGGCCTCATTGAAGGAGTCTGAGAGGATGCTCTGTTTCAATTGTTATCAGTAATTTAAAAAGAATTGGAATTAGTTCTTTAAAAGTCTGGTAGAATTCAGCAATGAAGCCATCCAGTCCTAGGCTTTTCTTTGTCAAGAGGTCTTTAATTACTGATTCAATCCCTGTCTTGGTTATTGGTCTATCTAGGTTTTCTATGTTCATGACACAATTTTGGTAGATCGTATGTGTCCAGGAATCTATCCATTTCTTCAGCATTTTTTAATTTGTTGGCATATAGCTGATTATAGTAATCCTGATGATTCTTTTTATTTTTGTAGTATCCATTGTAATATCACCTTCATCCTCTCTGATTTTATTAATTTATATGCTTTCCCTTTGTTTTTGGTTAGTTGTACCATTGGTACATTAACTTCATTTATTTTTTTTAAAAAACAGCTCTTCATTTCACTAATCCTTTGTATCTTCCTTGGGTTCAATTGTCTTTTTTCTCATAATTATTTCTTTCCTCTTACTAATTTTTAGTTTGGGTTGTTCTTGCTTTTCTAGGTCGAGATACATTATTAGCTTATTTATTTTATGCCTTTCTTATTTCCTGATGTAGGCACTGGCTGCTATGAATTTTCCTTTTAACATTGCTTTTATTATTTATTTGAAAGGCAGAGCTACAGAGGCAGACGGGGGGGCCCTCCAGCCACTGGTTCACTCCCCAAATGGCTGCAATGGCCAGAGCTGAGCCAGTTCAAAGCCAGAAGCCAGGTCTCCCATGCAGGTGCAGGGGCCCAAGAACTCCAGCCATCCTCCACTGCCTCCCATGCCACAGCAGATAGCCAGATGGGAAGAGGAGTAATAAAGACATGAACCAGCACGCATTTGGGATCCAGCACAGTATGAGTGGCTCCACTTGCTACACGACAGTGCCAGCCCCATCTTAAGTTTTTGTTTTTTGTTTTTTTGCAGTTACAAACTTCACATACTTCATAATTACAATTTTAGGAACATGGTGATTCTTCCCACCATGCCCGCCCTCCAACCCAGACTCCCACTCCTCTTCTTCCTCCTTCTCTTATTCCCACTCTTATTTTTCACTTAGATCAGTTTTCAGTTGACTTTATACACATATGTTTAACTCTGTGTTAAGTAAGGAGTGCAACAAATAGTGTAAAAAAGAAAACCATTCCTCAACAATCAAGACAAAGGCTGTTCAAGTCATTGCTTCTCTAAGTGTAAATTCCACTTCTACAGATTGCCTTTTAGGTGCTCTATTAGTTATCACAAGTCAGGGAACACATGTGGTATTTGTCCCTTTGGGACTGGCTTATGTCATTAAGTATAATGTTTTCCAGATTCCTCCATTTTGCTGCAAATACTGGATTTCTTTTCTTTTTTAACCTCTCTGTAGTATTCCATAGTGTACATATCCCATAATTTCTTTATCCAGGCTTCAGTTGACAGACATTTGGGTTGATTCCATGTCTTTGCTATTGTGAACAATAAACATAGGGGTGGAGCTAACTCTTTCCTATGCCGATCATTTCCCTTGGGTAAATTCCCAGGAGTGGGATGGCTGGGTCTTATGATCGGTCTATATTCAGATTGCTGGGGTATCTCCATAGTGGCTGTACCAGTTTACATTCCCACCAACAGTGGATTAGGGTACCTTTTTCCCCACATCCTCACGAGCATTTGTTGTTTGTTGATTTAGGTATGAAGGCTATTCTGACTGGGGTGAAATCTCATTGTGGTTTTGATTTGCATTTCCCTGATGGCTAGTGATCCTGATCATTTTTTCATGTGTCTGCTGCCCATTTGGATTTCCTCTTTTGAAAAATGTTTAAGTCCCTGGCTTATTTCTT